CAAACATGCCTGCTTCTTCCGGGGATATTTTTGTCATGCTTGGAGGCTTTTATCCCGCATGTGCAGTTGTATGCTAGCCTTCTGAAACACTTTCAAAACCGTTTGCAACGTTACAAATGTTATGTCTGTCCACAGCCTTTGAGATGTCCTTAATGGAAACCTTCTCTTCAACCTAAGCAACATCCAGAAAAGCATGCTCCACTTTTGGTGCCACTTAACCAGGGGTGGGCAATTATTTTGGGTGGAGGGCCACTTACTGAGTTTTGGTGAGCCATCGAGGGCCACATGCCAGGCAGCCAGGGGCAGATATATATTAATTTTCTAATTTTTTTAGGGGCCCCATGGGCCGGACAGCATAGCCTGGCAGGCCGCATCTGGCCCATGGGCCTCATTTTGCCCACCCCTGCCAACCACTGCAGCTCACACTGTTCTGCCTTAAAGTGCAAAAGGTTCAAACACTAAGCCTAGGCACTATCTGAGCTCTGCATCTCTCCCAACAGGGGAACAACAAACACAGCCAAAAATGCTCAGTCTTAGACCAAAACTGAAGGCCCCAGAACATGAGCCATGGGGAAAGAACAAATGAAAGACATCAGAGCGAGCTGTGCCAGGTCTTTCTCGACCAGTCCCACTCGCAGAGATCTCACCAAAGTGACACATGCAGCATACAAGCTGGCTTCGCTCAGAGATGCCTACCAAAGACATTTTTGTTACTGACGCTGTGCAAACATTTTTACTGACATGTTCTGGATTATGTAAATGTAAACCTTCAGTCAGGATCTGGATGGCAGCAAGAAGAGCTGGATTCAAACTTAGGGGTTTAACACCAAACACAGTAAAAAAAAAAAGTGTGGTTGTCAATAAAAAGTTTGCAGACTGTCAGTATTTTTTTTCTTTGGTTGGCAATCCTGCTTCACTGCAATGGTTTTACACTGTGCTGCCTCCCTCCCCTTACTCACCCCCTACACTCTGATACCCCCAACAACACCCTGTATTGTGCTCCCCCACCAGCCCATCACCCAGCCTTATCCCCACTAGCCTCCGCTCTCTGGCCCAGCACTTACCCTCCCACGTAATGCATCTCCCCTCTACCAGCCTGGCTGCTCTGTCCCAGCCTCACCACCCTTCCTTGTCCTGTCTAGGGCCACGCAGCCCTAAGTACCTGAAAGGTGAGCAGTGTTACAGGCAAGCAATGGGAAGCAGCAGCAGCAGCAGCATACGGCTGAGGTGGGGGGCGGGTAAGGAGGCTTCCCTAGGCTACAAAGCCCTGACAGAACTCCCTGCAGGGTGCTGAGCTCCCATTCAGCCACCAGGTGGTGCTGTTCTACTTTGTTTATTAATGCTTTGTATCCAGTCTCTTGCCGACAGGAGCTTCAATCAAGCTTAGTTTTTTTTTTAAGGACAGCTCTATTTTTTGTGGATTTTACAGATAGGTGTTTTTAGTTTTTTTTTTTGTTTTTGTTTTTTAAGGCCTGCCTGAAGAGTTATGGACAGCTGGCAACTCTGGTCCAGATATAGTCAGGGACCACATGGCACAACTTGTACTTTGGACTGGGGGGAGCTAGAGTGACCCAATGTGAGTCATATGGAAGCATATTCTCTTCCCATGTCCCCAGCATGAGGAAGTCTCAGAGGGGGAGGAAGTTCCTTTCCCACAGCAGTGGCTCCCTGAGTCCACGTTCTCTTTTGCACTGCAATGAGAGCAAATGCTTCGGGCAGATTTCTACTTCACCTAGTGGGAGACCAAAGCATATCTTGCGACCAATTCTAAATTACCAGACCAAAGTGGAGAAGCCATTCTAGTACCCCCTCTGGGTATATGAGTACCCTCATTTTATCAATAGGGAGATGTCTGCATGCCTCTACACTATAATCTTAGCTTGTAACAGGGGTACTTACACAGTATTCTTAGGATCTTAGGATCATTTTAGGATCCCTCTGTGCAGGGGTAACAGCTGCCTGTCTCACAGCAGGACTGGCCCATGGCATGTGTAGTACAGGCAGCCTCTTTGTGTGGCACATAGCGATTGGGGAGGAAGTGGAGAATACAGTGGCAGATAGGGCAGGGAGCAGAAAGCAGAGCACCAGATTAGGCAGCGGGAAGGGATTGGAGTGGCACTCAGGGAAGGTTGGTGCCTTCCCTTCCCCTTCCACCCCATTACAGAGAGTCTGAAAAAGGCCTCCTTTCAGCCCTCAGCTTCAGAGAGAAATCCAGCTGTCCAGGAGAGGGTTGGATTAGGAGTGGTCTCCCTTGGAACACCTTTGCCCTTTTTTTCCAAAGGAAAAGTGTGTGTGTGCATGCGCACATGATTTTTAAAATAAAAGCATGCTAATCCCTGCATGCCAGCTTGGCAGAGCAGCCAGGCCTTCAGAGGGTGAGGTAGAGGCTGGGCATGTTTTGTTTCAGCAGTAAGAGTGAAGTAAGGGAGCTAAGAAAATACCATTCCCAAATATGGCTTTGTGTGCATTCTAGCTAGCTATGTTGGAGCAATCCTTATTTTGGAACAAAAACTGGTTCCCAAATCCTTGAATATGATTTTTCATGTGTCTCTCTCATTTTAATAACCTGGGATGAAAATAGCTCTTGGACACTCTGTCCTTTTTAAAAAAAGACAGGTCCAAGATGTTTAGGCTTTCATGCAACAGTCCTTTTCTGACACTATGAATATTTCTAACAGCCTTCGTGGGCCAGCACAGTGCCATTGCTGCTCTACTCTGGGTTCCTGAGACAGCAGTGAGGGCATAGGGAGAGTAAAACAAAAGATGTGCTGGGGAGAGACAGTGGTGGCATGAGTGGGATTTGGTGGCTGACCTCTAACAGTGAGCAAACCCTCTTCCTTGTCATCGCTGCCCCAGCTTGTTGTTCTGGAAATCAGACAAGAGTTGAGCTTTGATTTTTGGCTGGTGGGAGCTGTCCTTCTCTCTTTGGGGTCAGGGGGAGAGGGACAAAGGACCAAACAAGGGACAAATGGGTGGCCAAAACAGCAGGTGAGGGTGGTGCCTCTGCCAATGTCTGGGTCTGGGGAAGGGAGCACTCTGTGGTGGGAGCAGCTGGATAATGCCGGAAAGGGGAGGGAAAGGACAATTTAGAGTAATTTGTTGTGGGGGGGAAGGGTGAACCCACTCTGAAGAAGTGGCTTTGCTGTTGGATTTTGGGTGTGTGTCTGTCATTCCTATACCTCCTTGTTATGACTATGCCTGTGTGTTACCCTCTATGTCCATCTAGGCTATTTAGTGCCATTTTGGGGGGACAGCACTGTGATCACTGCAACATGGCATGACTGCTAGTGCCAGGAGGTCTGTGAGGATCTCTTCAGGATTATGTGCTCAGCTAGTGACAGGGTGTCTTGAAGCACTAGGATTTCTATGACTTGTCAAGGTTTTTCTGAGTTATCGGGTCTGGAAGGCACGGAGGTCTCTGTGAGGTGTGCCAGGACGTCTCTGAAACAGTGTGTGTGACCATGCCTAAGTGTCTTTGTGGCATCAGGTCTGAGGCAGTGTTTCTGGATGGCACTGAAATCTCTTTCATGTGGTGCACCGACTGGGGCGATGGTGTCTTCTGGCTTAATTGTTTGTATTGGATTTAAAACTTCAAGTAAGGAGTTTCTAAACTGACTAGTGATTTGAGGTCCCATTCACAATGGCTCTCTGGCTTGTTTTCCTGGTGTCATGGCTCAGGTTTCTAGCATTGCCAGCCAGCTACAGGCTGGATCATAGCAGTGCTCTGAGGTCTCAAAATGTGGGCACTGAAACTTGCTATTTGCTTTTGAAAATCTTGTCCTCCGTGGCTCCAACATCACCCTGTGCAGATAGCTGCCGAGGAAAAGCACAGTTTCCTATTGCTACTGCCTCACTATCCCTCCTGCAGGTCCCACCAAGGCTCCCACAGTGTAGGGGCTTGTCTACCCACACCTCTGTGGGAGATTGAAGTTTTAGAGCTGGAGAAAGTGATTGTGGCTAGACAATGGCATGGTGGATGCAGGTCTGGCACTGTCTGCCTGGCCCCTGCCTCAGCACAACCTCTCATTGTAGGTGACATTGGACATGCCTTCTAGGTAATCTTGGTTTGGTACTATCTGTTGCTCTATAAGAAGTATCTCTTCCAGGTTTTAGTTTGCCCTGCTGTGTTTATTACCTTTTATATTAAAAACACATAGGTAGGGAGAAGTAGAAGTGCAGGGGTGCAGCCAGATCAAGGTCAGTGTCGTGGAGCAGGTCTGTGATCCCACCCTCTCCAGGACTGCAAATGTCCTTGAAACCAATCCAATGAGAAGATCCCTAGCTCCCTTCCCCTGTAAAAAGCAGCACCAGGGAGATGGGCTGCCATGCCCTGGGAGCGCAGGGCCATCTAGGAAAATCTGGTGAGATGCAGCCTGCCTTAGTACTAGCCAGGGAGTGGCAGGGGTGCTAACTTCTCTCTTTTAATTTTTACAATTTAAGTCTGACCCCCATATGGGACACAAGATCTTTCCTGCCTCAAGCAGGGGGTTGGATTAGATGACTGCTTGAAGTCCCTTCTAGCCTTACTTCTCTATGATTTCCCTGCAAGTAGTGGCATCATTTTATTTGGAGCATGTCTCTCCCAGCCTCTCTTCTAGACTTCCATTTAAAGAGTACCTTCATTTGAGAGGGTAAATCCCTGCTGAGCTGTAGTGATCTGACATGTGCATTTGATTTGCAGCACCCTAACCCCACCTGCTGTGGGGAGGGAGTCATCTTCCAGTGAGACGTTTCTTAACTATTTGGACCTGGCTGTTGTCAAGAGTAAGGACGGCTTGCTGCATGTGCACCAGGGAGGCCAAATTAATGGACACCCCAAGCTTTCTCCTCCTTGGGGAATTTGGGCTCTCTCTCCTCTTCATGCACCCAGGTCTTTTAGGTGAAAACGCCCTCATAAATCAGCTCTGTTGGACTCCAGCAATAGCAGCAGACCAGGTGACCCTCAGCAAACCAGAACCCAGCATGAACCAGAACCCAGCATGACAGGGCATTAAGGCAAGGGTAACTAGTCAGGCAGGAAGCTCAGAAGTGCTGAAGGACCCCTCTTCAGCTGAGAGGTCCCTACGACCTTGACTTGTGATTCCACATGGCAAATGTTAATGACAGAAGTAATGTGTGCTTGGTAGGGAACTTGTGGTCTAAACTGAGTGACAGTCCCTGAAATCAGAAATGTCTGGAAGGGCCCAGTACAGCCACAGCAGCTGCACTGAACCATGTAGCCACAATGCTATGCTCTCAGAAAGCCCTTGCTAGTCATCTCCCAGCCCCAGCTCATCCAGGCCTGTGACATAGGCAGCACCTTGCCTCTGTCCTGTCCCTGGGTACATGAAAAGCACTAAATAGCAGAAAGGGAGAAGGAAGGGCAGTACTGCAACTAGGCTGGGATGACTGGGGCAGCAGCCCTGGGCACTGATGAACAGCTAACAGCTGCTGTCACAGCTGTGCAATTACATCAGTGGCACAGTGGCAGCCAGAATTTGCCACTGCCCCCATGTGTCCTCCTGTCCTATGCACCCAGCTGCCTTGTTACCATCTGAGGAAGGGAAAAGATGAATAAAAGTAGAAAGATCAAACAAAGTGAGAGAGAAAAAATGATAAAGAAAAAGGAGAAGAAACTCATCCTTCCCTAATGCCAGCTATGACTGCTTAGGTCACAGGAAGAACAAAAGAAAAGAATACAAGAAAGCTCCCTGCATGGGACAAGCTACTAAAGCTGCTTCAATGTGAACTATCATCTTAATGCCCAAATGACTCCAAGAGAATGATAAGATGTCAGAATCTGCCTGGTGGGGTCTTGGTGATACAGCACAGAAAACACCTCTGTAAATCTGGAGATCTGCAAGATATCTCTGATTGTCCCATACAGAATGACTCAGAGCCCCATACCACAACAAAAGGAGCTGTCATTAGTTCTGCCATATCAAGACCCTTCCCTCCACTCTACCTGCTGTGATTACTTCAACCTCCTCCTGGGAAGTGAATCTGATGTGGCAAACATCCACTTATACCAGGGTTGGGCAGAATATGGCTTGTGGGCCACATCCAACTCGCCAGGCCATTCTATCCAGCCCACAGGGCCCCTAAAAAATGTAGAAAATATTTATCTGCTCCTGGCTGCCTGCCATTTCCCTGCCTTCCTGCCCCTTCACTGCTCCCACACCACGTGGCTCCTGACTTGCTGGACCAGGGAGAATGGGGCCTCGCCAGTACCCTGTGTGTGTGTGTGTGTGTGTGCGTGTGTTTGTAGGGTGAGTCTTACATGCATACCCCACCATACACATACCCACACCCCCCCACACCTATCCACCCTCCCCAGACACACCCACACCCTTCCCCACACCCCACACACAATCACATGCTCCCTGATCCCACACCCACAGCCCCTCACAAACCTATACCCACCCCCCACAATATACAAGAGTAAGACTTCATTTTAAGCTATTGTGCAATCACCTCTATGTACACTACACAAACACGTGTAAGTCAGGACAAAAATATTTTTCAAAATCAAATTAATGAATATTTTAGATGTTTGCTTTTTAGAATATAAGTTGGTATTTTTCTGGTTCCAAGATGGTAAAACCCCTTGCTGAAAGAGTACTTCCAGGGGCAGGGGAGGGACTTCTGGTGGCAAAGGTCAGGGGCTAGGGGACAGGACTTCCAGTCACAAGATGGCAACCAGGGGGCGGGGCATCTGTATAGAGATACCCATGCAGCCCTTGAAAGCTTGCTAAAACTGGGTAAGTGGCCCTGTGCCCGAAATAATTGCCCGCCCCTGACTTACACAGTATTCAGCAGAACTGACGGGACTTCCAGCCCTGAGAAGCAGCCTCTGATGGAGGAAGCCAGCGCATCTGAAAAGACAACAGATGTGGAAGTGAAATTTGGGCTGCAATATACCACATGCCTTTTCCATTTGCATAGAACACCTCTAAGAGGACAAAGCAAGAGTAAGGTGCCTGTCCTGGGCTCACCTGAAGTGCCCAGATAGCCTGATCCCCAAACCTGGGCCCCTGGCACACATTCATTTCATGACACAATGGGATCTGATCCCCAATTCCAACAACTGCGCCTCCTACTATGCCACACATGCATGGCAGGAGGTGCAGTTGTTGGGATTGGGGATCAGATCTCAATCATGCCATTACTACTTCCCAGTGCAGGGGGAACCCAGAATCATAACCCCAGGTTCCCCTCTCTACAAGCAAGTTGAAAGAATAGCGTCTGCTCATGCAGCCAGGTCAACAATCAGCTGATTGTCAAAACCTCATGCTCAGCAGCTCTGGCTGTGCTGCCCGGCCCAGGAGATCAGAGGCTCCCAGTAGATAGGAGGGAGCTGAACAGCATCCCCCACTGGGGAACTTTAAACCCCAGCTGTCACTTCCATGAGCACCTTGAGAACTTGGGAGTTGCTCCCTGATGTCTGGCTTGATGTACTTCTGCCTCTGGGGATCAGACAAAGGCTGTGCTACCCCCAGCTCATCCCACTGATTGCGGATGGGACAGCTGTGTCCTACCTAGACCCTGTGACTTCCCATTGCTGAGTCTAGGTTCAGCTGCACATGAAGATCTATCATGGGTTAGTCTCAACATGCCAAATATTCAATGTAAGGCATATTACAAGCGAGCCACAAAGACATTACACATTATGTGGAGTGTCTTTGTGGCTCATTTGCTATATTATCATGCCATAAATTGGTTTTAACTTATCAGTTTACTATTTCTGGTGTGATTAACATCTTAACCAGGTGTTAAATGTAGCATATGCCAGAGAACCCTTGGGTTCAGGCACTTTTGACCCTGGGAAGGTAAGATCCACAGACTCAACTTGTTGGCATGGGTTCTACTCTGTTTGCAAGAAGGCCATACAGAGTTGACTTACAGCAAGGGCCAAAAAGAACTTTCCTTAGAATAGGTGCCCTATGGCCCTGCCTTCTGGAGGGACCAATCTGGGGCCAGGTCTTGGAGGTGGCTGAGCAGACTAGAGGAGGCTGGCACATATGTTTGCAGATCTCCTTTGTGCTTACTTCCCTCTTACCACTGGCACTGTGTGCAGGGATGGGCCTTTCTGCAGGGACAGATCCTAAATACACAACTGAAAACCCAAAAGGCCCAGAACACTAGCCAAGTACTGGTTCAGTGTAGTGTCTCAGACTGCCCTATATTCTCCCACCAAGCCAACAGCAGCAACTCAGGTAATGCAAGCCCCCCCCACATTAGAGAGTGCCCTTCGCATTAGTTTGATGCTCCCCATACCAACTGCATGTACTTGAGGTCTGAGCTCTAAAGCTTAGCATAACAGAAGTTTCCTGCACTGATTCCTGAAGATACTGCACAACTGTTGCTAAAAGCTTGGAAAAGTGCCTGGAAAAGTTCCACTGGGGTTACCACATTCACTGAGCCTTCCTGAGTCCAGCTCCTAAGCAAAAACCCTCACATAATTGAAGCTCTGAGGGGTACTGCAGATTTGCAGAGGGTGAAAGGCTTCCTAGCTCATTCTCTTATGGTTGCCAGCTCCACAGGGCAAGTGGGATTAAGAGGACTAGAGACATCTTCCAGCTACTGCACTTGCTACTGGGGGCTATGCACTGCCAGCATGGGCAACTGGTGCCTCTTGAGTCAGGGGGTACCATATCGCCAATGGGGGAGGGGAGTCCCCCAGCAGCCAATTGACAACCGGTGTGGGGAGGGGGTTCCCCAGCGGCACTTCTGTTTTTGTGGCTGGTGCTTCCATGGGGTGCATGGCTGATCTCAGTGGGTGCATGTGCACCCGCAGGCACCCCCTATGCATTGCCAGTGACTGTCAGGAAGGCCCATTTCATACATGTTTAGGGCAGAACAGACATACCCAGTGTTGGTTGGCCTGGAAAGTGGCTTTTCCTTTCCCAAATATAAAGCAGCATCGCCAGGAGTTTCACTGGAAATGGGAGTTTGGGTCTGATCTACCTGTCTTAATCACTTAATTTTACAAGCAGCCCCTGTGGCCAATGGCCTGGCCTGTGTCTAAAGCCCTACTCAGTAGAAGGCTGTGGCATCGCTGGCTGCACAGTGACATTTACTAATTTGGGCAGTTTTCACTTGGCTGCTGAGCTGATCAGTAGCGTAAGACACAGCAGACTAATACATTTCAGGCTGATGCCTGTTGTACAGTCAGCACTGGCTCCTGAATGTGAACAGGGCTGGAAGAGGAAGTAAGCAAAGGGTTTTCCCACATTACCAGCAGGCCAGAAGGCTGAGGAAAAAACATGAACTAGACCAAAGGAGAAACATGAAGGCAAGAGACAAAGTCTGGGTTACCTCACAAGTCGTGCACAAATTACCTCCAAAACCAACCATTCCTCAAGCCTTTGGCTAAATCCTAGCAGGTAAGGCAACATCGTAAGGACCTTCACACTGAAATTATGAAGGCTGAAAACACCCCTTGCTATTTTGGCTCTGGATTTCATGCCAAATTAAGACCAGGCTTAATTAAGCTGGTTGGGCCCATTCAGACACAACACTTAACAAATTCTCACAGTGCCAACATGAAGTGAGGTGAAACCTGATGATTTTGGCTGAGGTTTTTGTTCATCTGAAGTAAAACAAAAATAACTGAAAAGGAGGAGGATCAAACACACATAAACTGAAACAGGTTAAGGTTTCATAAGCTCTTGCAAATGGAGACCACTACTTTAGAAACCAGTCCATGCCTCTAGGAGCGGGGTCACCAACCCTTTAGGAGTGCTGGGCCAAATTAACAGAACTAGCTCCAAAAACAGGCCACCACTTCCAGCCCAGCTGCTACTGTTGCTGTGTGTCCCCTCACCCTCCACTGAAGTGCCACCAACCTGCCACCGACCTACAGTGTGGGTAGTAAACGTCCAGAACAGAGGAGTCTCTCTTATGAGAAGTTGTATGTGTCAGGCAGTTGAGACTGTCTATTTGTATGCACGTATAATCTTCCAGATGGGAAATGGATGTTGAGGAGTTAGTGAGCCATCCACTTATACACAGGAGCAGAGGAGTAAGAAGGGAACAAGGCAGTGAAGGGAGAACAACAGGCTGAAGATGCTGGCGACCGAATGCAGCTTTTTATTAAGTCCCCCCTTTTTGTGTTTGGTGAAGGTGTAAAGAAATTGTGAGGATCCTCCCAGGATGCCCAGGAGTATGTCATGGATCTTTGAAAGGAGGACATTTTTCAAACTCTTTGGATAGCAGGCTTGACCTACAGGGAGATGGCCATCCTGATTGCATGGAGGCCTTGCTATCTTTCAGCACAAGAGACAGGTGAAGAAGCCAGTTTTCTTAATGACTGACCTGGCTTCATGGAAGCTGAGTGCTTTGCAGACATCTAAATAGGGCCATCTCCTCTCAGGAGAAGGAGAATGCTTGGAGCAAGGTGACAAGGTTCCTTGGGTGAATTTGATATCTTTTATTAGACCAACTGAAATGGTTGGAGAATAGTTATTAAGCAAGCTTTCGGGTTCAAAAACCCTTCGTCAGGCTAAGGAAGCTTCAGCAGTTGGTGTGTGCTCTTCCTGGATGGAATGAAAAGTAAAGAAGCCAGGGGCTGGGCTGGGGAGTCAGTTGCCAGGCAGATTATAATGTATCAAAAATCCAATGTCTATGTTTAGTCCATGATCTCTAGTATCCAGGAAGTTGATGAAATGGAGTTCATAGGCTCGTATCTGGGAAGTGTTGTGTAAGTTTCCCTTGAGGATCAGGACTGAGAGACTGGAGAGAGAGTGGCCCTCCTGTGAGAAATGTGCCCCAACCGGTAATTGGGTATTTCTGTCTTTGATGGATTTCCGGTGTGCGTTCATTCTGGTGCACAGTTGTTGTCTGGTCTCTCCTACATATTTTCCATCAGGGCATTTGGTGCATTGGATGAGGTATACTACATTCCTGGAGGTGCAGCTGTAAGATCCTGGGATGCTGATGGCTCTGTTGTGGGGTGTAGTAATTGTGGGGGTGGTGGGGATGTGTGGGCAGGTTTTGCATTTCTTGTCCTGGCACGGTCTGGATCCTTTTGGTGCGTTCTGGGTTTGGGGAAGTTTGCTTCTGGTGATGAGGTTGGCGAGGTTCGGTGCTTGTTTAAAGGCTAGGATGGGTGGCTCTGGGAAGATCTTTTTAAGAATAGGGTCT